CTTCCTTAGGGGTCCTAGGATCTGTGGGGCTGGCTACTGGATATTTTAAGCAGTCAGCCTGCCTCCCCTCTTTCTCTTCAATGTGCAGGCTTGGCGTCACCTCTGTGCCATCATGACCACACCACAAGGCATCTGGTTCTTGTGAGTCTGGCCCTCTTCGGATGCCTGACATGACCCCCTCACAGATTTCCTCATCTTCCTCTCCAATGACAGGGAGGGTTTGGGGCAAGGGACCCACACTAGTGTGTGCAGAGGCCACGAACTTATCACCTAGGACTTCAGGTCGTTTTTCAGGGCCTGCCAAGCCCCGTCTCATTTTTGTCAAATCTGCAAACTTGTTTGGAGGCGTCGTTCTGGGGTCCTGAAGTGGCACCGCCTCAGAAAGCTGGGCTTCAGCTGAGCTCGCACCGGAGCAGGGGAAAGGGAGCAGAGAGGACGGTGGTTCCGTGGGTACAGATGCTGGAGGCACTGGGAGAAGAACTGAGGGCTCCTCCTGAATCTCAAGGGTGGTCTCCTCTAGGATATTTGGTTTGGCTTGGTCGGCAGATAAGAGTAAAGTACCAAGCTTCTCTAATTCATCCAAAAAGTCGTCCAGAAAAGAAGGTGGTGTTGGGGCCAAAAGGTCTGCCGGCGGACACCTGGCTGTCAGGGACAGTCCCCCCTGGGCGATTCCCTGGAGAGCTCCTTTCCCTGAGCCAGCTGCAGATTTGTGCATGGGAGGAGGGGCTGGTTCACTGGAAGCCAGCTTAGAAATGAGCAGGGATTATGAAGTTAAAGAAAATAAACCAAGAAAATAATAATAACGCATCAAAACACAGAGACAGAGAAATGCTGGAAAGGAATGGTAGTGAATATGAAAAATATTTTACGCTGTGGTCTAGATTTGAAGATATTTTGCTGAATTTAAATACATAAAATCATTAGCATGTTAATTAGAAAGTTATCTGAAAAATGAAACTCTACTAGTATTTGGAAGGGGTCTTAAACGTCAAACAAGATAAAGCTGTCGTAGAGATTATAAGGACAGATAGCAAAACCTTAAGAGATTTAATTTAATGGACTACCTCTTTTAAACTAGGTCTCAAGATACTGATTTAGTAGCATAAATGACTCTGAAATAATGTTAATGTAGAATCAAAACCAAGAATTAAGCTGTTTTTATTTCCTGAATTTGTTTAGTGTTCTTTCTTCCCGTAGAAAATCTTTTGAACTTGTATAATTTTCTCACTTACATTTGCAAGGTGGTTATAACAGATGGCATAAAATATTTTTACACCATTATACATGAACAGATTTCTAAACAAATAAGTTCTGAAAGATATTTTTCAAGAACAGAAACCCATGATCAGAAGGAAACAACTTACATTAACTACTACTTCAAAGTTAAAAAAAACCAAGGTAAAGGTTTACCTAGAAAGGGAGCATATGATGTGAATGGGAGTAATATGAGTGAATGGGACTCTGCTAGGAGTCCCGTGCTCTCAAAAGCTTGACATTTTATGTAAACCTGTGGAGGTATAATTTATGAAACAATCTCCTGAAGTAAAAATACACTTCTGTATATCTTAATCTTATTGCTATCTTTTGGATATATTGAACAAAACAGAATTTTTATGTAAATTCATTAAAAGTAGTTCTAGAAGTGCTGCCTAGGAACATTCTAATACATTTAACTATTGTTGCTATATTAGAAAGAAGGCAACATGTTGTATATATGAAGGCCTTGAGAGGGCTGGTGGATCACATAGTACTTTAGTTCTCTCCAGGTAGATGATTTTGGTTTGGAAAGAAACAATCTTCAAGAAAGATTTTGGAGATGCACTTTCTAGTAGATTGTGTAGGATGAGCTATCACTCATGCGCTCAGTGCCCGTGGTCCTCGGGCCTGAGTACGTATCAGCGCACAGTACATTCTTCACTTAACTTTTGACTTCTGTGTCCTATAATAGGATTGCGGCCTTAATAGGATTTATCTAGCTGTTTTTTCAAAAAAGGAAATATGAGGTCACGTCCCCATGGGGTGGGATAATGAGACAAAAAAAGTGTCACAAAACTCATGGGAGCATCCTAACAGAAGATTCAGGACTAAAGGCTGCTTAGCACCTGAAATGAAGTGATAGCATTCATGTGGTTTGTTACTGCATAGATAGACACTCCTAGCAAGTCCTACATCTGTTCAATTTTTATTAAGATAGAAACTACCTAAGTCTCATTTGATAGTCTAGAGAAGTTCCCTTATGGGCCAGAGTTCTATTTTATGCTCTATGTTATGCAACACTGTAATAAATTTTGAAAGTCTGTGAAATATATAATAATTCAAGATTATTCCTTTCCAGCTTCACTTTCTCTTATGGACAGAAATATTATGTGGATGAGAAAGAAAGATCTTTAAATTCCATTATCATCATTACTACCCCATCACTATTAGGCCTGCTGCTCCTCAAGTGCCATTATCACCACAGGCACTAATTTACATGCTGACAGGTTCAAAGTGCTTAGCTTTGCAACGGACTTGTTTCTACCGAAAGTCAAATTAAGTATCTTGGGATACCTTTATCACAAAAATATACCTATAATACAAAAATCATACAATCATCTTGTCTTCCAAAAGCATTGGAAGTGGATTCTACTGTACTAAAAGCAGAAATATCAGAAATAATATCAACTTACATTTGAGTCTCCCCTAAAATAAAGATAGTATGTCAAGAAATGTGATTTGAGTGTGTCAGAGTGACTTATAAACCATTTAATGAGTTCCTTCCTTTATTTTCAAATGTCAGTCAGAAAATAGGATATATAACATTTATATATTTTGAATGTCATCCTTTAGAAGTACATTATAGTTCATTTTCTGAAAATGATTGAGTTCACCACTACTGAGAAGTTTCCTTCGTTAAGCTAATGCCATCTTGGCATGGATTATCAGTTGAGGTGAAAGCATTAAGTTTTTTTTTTCAAATTATGGACATAAGCTTTTCAACACAATTTTTTTTACCCAGCAGTGAGAATAAAACACTAATTAATTATTAGCGAAATTTGTACATTTCTCTATGTATAAAACGTAAAATACTGTATTCTAAGAAAAAAACTTAGGAAACTGAAAATACATTCAAATCATATTCAGAACAAAGATTAAAATATTATGATCTAAGATATTATATTGCCATTGTTAATTAGGAGATTATGGAAGAATTTCTTAAATGTTAAATAAACTTTTGTAGGTACATGCTTATTCCTTGTTTTAAAGTTTTATTTGAAGGTACAGTCGCTTTGAAATTTATCTGGTAAGTTCTTTTAAGATGACTGAATGGTGGATAAGACAAATATATGGATGAAGATTCTTTTCTTTTTGTCAGTAGGAACTACTGAAGGAAGGATGTTGATCTCTAAATGCTAAGCTCTGGTAGTGAAGTAAATATGCTAAAGAAGATTCTGGAAAACTTTATGATCAGCCAAACAAAACTGGATGGTACCAAACTGTTCCATTATCCAATGATAAAGGATTGAGAGTAATTACCCTCCCACTGAAACCCAGTCTTCGAAGAGGAGTAGAAGAAATATAATGCCTAGCCTTAGCCCTTTCAAGAGGAAATGCTTCTCTTAAGATAGTAGATTGTTAGATCATTTACTTATGTAAAATCCTTCTAAGACTCATTTTCAAGGAGTAGTTTAGATCACTGGGGATGCTATCTTGAAATGATCTTGCAGGGGAACGTGAAATGACTTCACATTTTAATAATGTCTGATATGTTGATGTTATTTTGCTAGCTCTAGCAAATGGTTTATTTTTATTTCATGGTTTATTTTTCCATGTCCCAGCCCTGATCTCGTTTAAAATAATTAATAAATTATGCAACTTAATACATTTTTTTAAATGTTTGGAAGTACTTACAATATTTTGGAAGTAATTCCTTAGTAATTTAAAGTTTTATACTTGGAAGTTAATGAAACGGAGAAAGAAATCCCTAAATACCATCATAAAAGAATGCAATATATTATAATGCAACAGAAAATTAAGAAGAAATTCACACTGTGAATAAAAAAAGTGGGAGAATTAATCTTTTCTAATTACCCAGTTCAGGAAGCAAAGTCCCTTTTAGATTATGTATTGAGAAAGATAATTATCTTTAGCTACTACTCAAGTGAGACAGTAGAACTGGCACAAAATTGTCCTAAAACTAATACAATACACTTGAGGACTTCTAATAACCTATGACATTTTCATTCAAACTAATAAACTGACTTACAGACTTCAATTAAAAATTTTACTCTATTTCTCTTTCTATATTAAAAACCCCAAGACTTTTATAGAATTTCGTCAACCTATTATCATGTGTTGTTGAAACAAACCATTTTGGGATCTATCTATTTATCTACATATAGATGCATATATATATATATATATATACACACACACACACATATATATACAGTCATGTGCTGCATAATGACGTTTTGGTCAACAACAGTCTCATAAGATAAGTACAATATAGCCTAGGTGTGTAGCAGGCTATACCATCTAGGTTTGTGTAAGTATTCTCCATGATGTTCACACAACGACAAAATTGCATAAAGATGCATTTCTCAGAACATGTCACCATTGTTAAGCAACACATGTCTATATATAACCCACATAAAATATATATATATTAAATAAAATCAATTTTCAGAAAAAAATTGAGTTTCAGAAAGCAGATATGTATACATATATACACAGATATATATCATATAGGATTTTATGATACTAATGTTTTCTCTTTCACTATTTTAACTTCAAAATGAAATTATCAAAATCAAGCATTAAACCTTTAGCCAGCACCTATTTAAGAAAAATTAAATTGTATCGATTTGACATGGCACTCACACACTTAGAAACATAACATGTAAATCTTCTGCTTTGCAATAGATGTGATGTTTTAGTCTAATGCCCTAAAATCATGTATTGATTACCTTACTCCAAGCTCCCAAATATTATATTAATAAGCTAGAATGTCTTCTTACCTTATTTGAACTTAAGCTGTGGATTCTGTCACTAGAATAGCTGTGGGGTATTGGAGGGTCAGGGTAATCCTCAGCACCTTTGGTTGTATTCTTCTTGACAACTTCTACATAGGAAACAGGGAAGATGCCTTGTCTGTTGGTTCCTGGAATTTTACCTTCATACCAGTTTTGATCAACTCTTTTAAGAAGAATAACTCTATCTCCCTGTAATGAATATTAGGAAAATGCATTATAAATAGAGACGTGATAAGATAAAAAATATAATGGTCAATGTTTTCTAATAAACAATAGTTTTCCATTTGGGAAAGTTTTATACCTCCAGTTTTTTTTTAGTCAAAAGAATGCAAGTAAAGTCTCAGACTTTACACCCAAATTACAGATTATCAACATAAATGCAATTTAATCATCCATTCATGACATTAGGATCCTCCCTAAGGATGCTTAGTTAATGTGAATGGGCTTAGACATGTTCATACTGGTACCATGTGAAATGACTTGTGTAAGTTATTTCAAAGAGCAGAATAGTTTAACAGGCAACGTCTCAAAGACAGTAGCATCATTCTATCACTGACAGATTCAAGGGAATGACCTCCTGTAGGAAGAGGTTCAGAAAAGTGCACCACAGCTCCCTGTGATGGTGTGTCTGAAATGGCTGGCAGAAATCAACCTCTAGACGAGATGAAGTTGAAAGGCACACTGAGTTTTTTCTTTAATCTACATGTGCTAAGTAGTAACAAAGAGTGAAGCTAATGGGATGGGGGCAGAGACAGCACCCTAGATAATCCATAGCTGTGCCCAGAGGTGACATCCATCTGGCCTGTGTGGGAGATCAAGATTTGGCCATCCTAAAATATATCTCTTTACCTTGATTGTTTTCTCTGAGGGACATTTGACCTCCCCCACTAACTGCCTAAAGAATTTGACATGGTGGCTCCTTCCTGGAACAGATCTTCTATCATGATGGCTATAAAGATAATGTAGGATAGAGGTTACAATAGCAAAGGCACCAAGCCTCTTTTATCAAAAACTCTGTCTCTCCCTGACCACATTATCTATAGATGACCCCGAAAAGAATTGTCCTCCTGCCCTCTGAAGTCCCAGGCCACTACCCACCCCCTACACGCTCCTCGCCTTTAGCTGCAATACTTAAGCAAGCAGCTTAGACAGAGGGACGAGTTGCTCATTTCTGAGTTTCTCCCATGTATACATGTTAATAAACTTGGTATTATTTTCTCCTGCTAACCTGTCTTGTTAATTATTTGGCCAGCCATAAGAACCTTAAGGGAAAGGGCAGAGGGAGATTCTCTCTCTTCCCCCGACACCTGCATCAAGATGGTGTCACACCAGCATCCATCTGATTGGTTGGTAGCCATGCCATAGTAGTCATTAAATATTTTCATAGAACCCCTGGCTTTTGCAGAAATAGAACTTTCTACAAACCACTATTCTTGCTTCCTGCGGTGATCAAGCCAATGCCACAAAACTCAGTTTAAATTTAACTCAAAACCACATGTGGCCCAGAAATAAATAGGCAAGATGTGGTTAAACAGCAAAAACTCTGCAGCTGCCTCCAGCAGGTGATCCCGAAGTTTGGGCAGCTGCACCTGATAGGGCCATGGAGGTGACACACAGCCAAAACTTCAGTACAGAAGGGAGGCCTTCTGCAGGTGGCACCCCAGGTGAAAGTTGTGTTTTTGCCAAAATGCTGGATGGTTTGTATAGCCTGTCCTACCACTGAGCAGAACATACTGAAGAAAAGTGAATCTTTCTAATTTTAAAATTGCACTGATTTTCACTGATAATACACCACTGTTGCTAGGCTATTGCTATAAATTGCATAATTGCTATAAATTGCATTGGCGGAAGCTTCTCTTTAAAGTATGAAACATAAGCTCATACAGTTCCTATTTTGCTGGGTTGCAGCTTGGAGGGTAGAAGAGAATCAATGTTTGATGCAGAGAATGAGCTGAGATTCTGCCAGGACAAGAACAGAGGTGTTTTCCTTTATTGCTCCTGGCTAAGGATTTCACCAGTAGGCATGAGAGGTTTCTAGAACTACCCTACATATTACTATCTAGTCTGTTGTGGGCAGACATGCGGTTACCTCAAACAAGGGTATGTGATTGCTTAGCAAACAATAAAAATAGTTCACTTAATCATTCTCAACTGTGTAAAGCAGCAAGTTAAAAAGAGTTCTTTTTGATGATGTTAAGAAAAGATAGTAGAACTGGATAGGCTGCTAGTGAAATTTGGGTCAGTCATGAGGTCTCGAAAAGTCCCACAAAAGAAACAGCACTGCATAGATGACTCTTCAAAAAGGCTCCCCAGTGAGAAATGTCTTCACTACTTTAGGTTCATTCCCTGATTCCAACATAAGAGAAAAGTCAGTATTGGGACATGTCTTTTTAAAAAAATTTGAATAATAAGGCAGCAGAACAACAATACATTTTTTTCCTTTTTTTGCTGAGGAAGATTCTCCCTGAGCTAACATCCACTGCCAATCTTCCTCTTTTTTTTTTGCTTGAGGAAGATTAGCCCTGAGCTAACATCTATGCCAATCTTCCCCCACTTTGTATGTGGGTCGCTGCCACAGCATGGCTGACGAGTGGTGGAAGTCTGCACTTGGGATTCTAACTCTCGAACCTGGGCCGCCGAAGAGGAGCACGCCAAACTTAACCATTAGGCCACAGGGCTGGTCCCAACAATATTTTGAAGTATATTAAACGGCTTTTCCTAAAAGGCTTCCCCATGTATAACTCCTTGATATTCAGCCTGAGGCTCCCCTTGGAAAGGTTTTGGGGCCTGCCAGGCTAAACCACAGACGAAAAGTCTCTCTGAGAAGCTTTGTGTCCTGCAGGGGACCTCTCCTGGAAGGACACAAGGGGTGGTAGGTAACAGTGACTCAGGGCCTTATGGGGTCCTTTGTAGAAAATGGGGAAAATCAGAAAAATGTCTAAGGAAGAAGATAACCGATTTTAGTTTTGAAAATATACAGCCTTTCAAATGCACTGATGAAGAAAACAGCCAGGCTACCTTTCTCAGTGACAGCTCCACATTTGTGTCCGCATTGAAATTGTATTTGGCTATAGCTTCTCCGATTTCTCCAGGCTGGGCGGGGGGAGGTGGTCTCGTAGGCTGCGCTTTTTCAGGAGGGGTGAGTTTCTGTGAAGGAAAACAGTTATTTATTCTTGACCCGTGGTGACTTTGGAAACAACAACCACGTAAGTGGAAACCTCTTCCTAAGGACTCACCTCTACGTATGAGATTGGGAAAATGCCCACTCTCCCGTGATGCTCTCCCTCATACCAATTTTGATCAACTTTCCTGAGGATGTAGACAGTATCTCCTTTCTTAAATGACAGCTCCCTGGAAGAGACATGTTTAAATGCTTTTTTTTTTTCTTGATGTATAGCAATTATTCTTAAGATCAACATGTTCATTAGATCTGTATTTGGCCGGAAAATATACTTCCAATATTAAAAATTCTGTCGAGCCCGGTTAGATAAAGATTTCCCTTACAAATTTTTAGAATTCACTTACAAGATTATAACTTTAGAAATGATTTCAGAAAGAACAAGTGTCAACATCACGTCTGATATAAATCACGGGCACATTAATACGAAATTTAAAGGGGGAGACAGGCTATAAGGATGGATTAATTCTGTACTGATTATTTTTTTGTCCTGAAGCTAGTTAGCTAGTTACTTACTTCTCTCTCTCTTTTTCTGTCTCCTGTTAATATGCTAAAACTTACAATAAGGAAAATACATATCATTTAGCCTTAGCACAGAAGTGCCAACACCAGAAAAACTTTTATTTGTGGATCCTTGAAGCTGGTTGACAGGCATTTAAGTAGAATATCTTGATAAGGAATTTATTTTGTGAAACAGAAAAGATTTCATACTTTTATTTTTCAATGGGGCACAAAGATACACATTTTTTGTCCTCTTTTATATTAAGGTATAATTGACATATAACATTATGTTACTTTCAGGTGTACAACATAATGGTTTAATATTTGTATATATTGTGAAATGATTACCATAATAAGTCTAGTTAACATCCATCACCATACATAGTTATAAGCTTTTTTTTTACTTGTGATGAGGACTTTTAAGATCTACTCTCTTAGCAACTTTCAAATATGCAATGTAATATTATTAACTGTAGTCACAAAGATAAACACATTTTAAGTGCAAAGACATTTCCAAATTGCTTGTTGCCTTCTTTATATATTTTGTTTTTAAAAAATAAAAATATTTTCAAGACACTAACTATGCTTTTCCATTTTGGTTGTTTCTAAGAAGACAGAAGGTAAATCCGAGTATTTAATTTTAAGTTATAAAGATTACTTATTTTGAATAATTCATGCCTAAATTCTCGCCCTCACTGTATCAGTTTTTCATGACATCATCATCCAGGTAATTGTGTCTGTGTGTTATTTTGCCTCCACAATTATATCTTGTTGGAGGGCACTTATTTCATGCCTTTCCCCAAGAACCCACTTTCTTGTACATCTGCCTTCCCCACTCCGGAATCTTCTCCATTGTTTAGTTCAGAATCTTGAGCTGGCTCATTTATTTGTGTGGAATATACAGTAAAGAGAGGTTTATATCAGATGTAGAATATTTCTCATTGATTAAAAGAATTAATTGAAAAAACTGTTGCATATTAAAAGAATTATTACACATTTAGAAGTGCTAAAATCTTCACATTGCAAGTGTGTTAAATTTTCAGTAACCCTAAAGACAAAGAGATTCACAGAGCCTTACATTCAAATATAGTACTTCCCTCTTTTGTGCAAGTGCCTGATATAGAAGACAAAAAACAAAATATTTAATATTTACAATCCAATAGTTTTATTTGTACCAGGTATGTTTTGTTTCTGGAAATGAAACTAGGAAGCTTAGCTTTTTAAAAAAAATGACATGTAAATTAGAGACAACTAGCTATTTTTCTTTTAAATGTGAACAGAAATCTTTTCTATTTATAAAGGCTTGCATTTAAATTTTTAAAGTGTCTAGATAAAGGACAGTAATCTCACTTAACAGTTTTCAAAATTGTGTCCTTCTCATCTCAGAGCTAGAATTTCTAAGAGTCCCATTTTGATAAGTTTGCTTTCTCCCCCAACCCCACCTTTGAAGAGTGGCCTCTGATAACCTTTGGAAATGGCATTTTATATCTTCTTCCTGTTTAACAATTGAGACATTAAGTTTGATGGTTACGGAGCTGTATTTCTTTCTTTTTTTTTTTTTTTAGGAAGACTGGCCCTGGGCTAACATCCGTGCCCATCTTCCTCTTCTTTATGTGGGACGCCGCCGCAGCGTGGCTGATGAGTGGTGCGTTGGTCTGTGCCCAGGATCCGAACCTGCAAACCCCAGGCCACCAAAGCAGAGAGTGCAAACGTAACTGTTACGCCACCGGGCTGGCCCCGTCATTTCTTTTTAATTAAACTTTGTTGTAGTAGGTAAAGATAGCTTTTAAAATTGGTATTTATTTGCAACAGATATGTCCGTCTCTTGTTTATAAGACGTTAGGCACAAAAAGCACTGACATCTAGCTTTTAATTGAAAGGACTTAAAAATGTGGCTAGCCAACTAGGAGGATGTGCACCTATGGCATACAACTATCTACTGGGGCTTTGGGGCAAAAAAGGAGGAGGATTGGCAATAGATGTTGGCTCAGGGCCGGTCTTCCTCAGCACAAAGAGGAGGATTGGCATAGATGTTAGCTCAGGGCTGATCTTCCTCACACAAAAAAAGTGTGGCTAGCAACTTTCAGTGCTGTGTGTGTGAGCCTTTTAAAGCTGCATGAGTCATCCATAACCTTGATTTTTGTGTCAAATAGGTAACCATATTGGGTTTAATGAACACCTGCTCTTTACATCTCCCAAGAACAGAACAAGAATAATGTGATCAAACTGCAGTAAGATAAATTTATGGTATGAGGGAAACATTTTTTTCTTACTAAAATTATGGGATGGCTTCCATGGGTGATTCTTTCATCTACTTCTCTGAAGGCTTATACAATTAGATTTTTTTTTTTTTTTTGGTGAGGAAGATTGTCCCTGAGCTAACATCTGCGCCAATCTTCCTCTATTTTGTATGTGGGACGCAGCCACATACAAGCATGGCTTGATGGGTGGTGTGTAGGTCTCTGCCAGGGATCCAAACCCTGCGAACCTTGGGCTGCCAAAGCGGAGTACAGACACTTGAAACACTACACCACCAGGCCGGCCCCTACAACTAGATTTTGTTGGGTTAGGAAGAGTTTTGTGAAAGGTGAGAGTGCTGCAGACAACCCTTCAGAAAGGCTGTGCCATCTTTAACCCCAGGGGCAGCATGTGGAAGAGCTGACTTCCCAAAACTTTTGCTAACTCCGGGTATTCAAGATAAGGGGTGTGGTCTGAGAGGGAGGGAGGGGCTTGGCCCTCGGAGCAAACAAAATCCGGTGACACAATCAACACCCCGAACACCTTTCCTCTGCATTGCAAGTAATCTTTCTCTCAAAGCTTGTGTTTTATTAAGCCTTCTCAAAAAACATGTGAGTCCTGGGTCGACACCTTTTCTATTTCATATGGCTTATCATTCCTCAGAGTTTCCTACATTGAAGGAAGCTTTTGACTGGTTGTCACAAAGTAGAAATGAAATTTACGTGTTTTCTATCATTTTATAAAACCCAAATGCATTGTGCAAATTGTCACACCATATCCAAAGAACAATAGTTGGGACCAGAGTACAGTAGAAACAAAGCAGATGTTAGTTAATAATTAAAAAAAAGAAGTAAGCTTTTCTTCAGGATTTTTTTTTTTAACACCCGATTTAAGCCATGTTCAACATCTTAATTTCTAAACAGCATTTTCTTATTTAGTTCATTCCCTGTCTCAGTGGCATTACCAAATTCTGAGTGATTTTATTTTTTATATGTCTTATGTTAGAGACAGTTTCTAGAACTATTAATTCATATAAGATGAATTTTTATGAATAAAATATTTTGGTTATTATATACATTTAGTCTAAACAACATAGAGTAATTTAATGCCAATTTACAATGAATTAAATATCTTGAATTCTAATGGGGACCAAGGTTTCTTAAATAAAGTCTGTGCACATGGGCCACAACAGAGCTGAAGACTCCCTCCTAGTTAAGCCTACTCATGTGCTTAGTACTAGCCTTTCTCAACCACATGCCCATCTGAAGAACAAGTTCCTAAAGAAAAAAGGTAAAAGAAATATTGCTACACAGAAGTATGAAAACACCAGCATCAAAAGACCCACAGGAGAGAACTTTGCTCAGAATCTCTAAGCTTTGAGTGTTGAGACTTGGAGGTTTTACTATAGGAATCTTTGTACACAGTTCTAGTCTTCAACCCCACAAACTATCCTCGATATAGCTGGATAAGTACATGTTATCAAATTCTCCCAGTTAGTGTTAATTACTCCCCTACACTTTATTTTTACTTCATTCTTGACACGAAAATTCTAGAAACAAAGATTCTTAGTTTCTTTTTGTTTTTCCTATCCTTTTGAACTCATTGTGCTCTATCTAACATATTTAGTGTAATTTAAAACTCAGTGATTCTCAACTACACTCAAAATGAAAATAAAATTACCCACATCCCAATTAATTCAGAAGGAACCATTTAATTAGAGTGGATTGCTGAATTGGGAATTAGGCCTTGTTTGTAATCTATCTCATTGCAAACTCGTAAAGTTTTACCAAAGTATTTAAAGCCAACTTAAATCATACAATGAATAGTTATCTTACTTACTTAGATGTCTGAGCCTTAAAATCATAAACAGCTTTTGCAGGCAATTTCTGAAAAGGAAGGTAAACAATTAGCACTAACTTAAAATTTGGATTTCCTGTAAGAAAGCAGTTTCACGTGAATTAAAGAGAAATGTAATCTAAAGGAATGATTAAACATATATAATGTAAATCCTATATGCAACTTGTGAATAAGTCAATTAGTTCTTAATTTAGATATTTAAACTATAACAGAAATATAACAGATGATTTATTTACCATAACTATTGAATATCATATTTCATCTTACGAACTAAGGTAGATGAATGCTGTAATTGGAGAATAAAATGCCTGAAGAGGATTCTATCCTAGCTATAATTTTGACTGTAACCAAGGCTTTTCTTGGGATAATTACAGAAGGTCAGTTGCTCTATGTCCTATGTATTGACACAAGTCCTTCTGAATTGTGATAAAAGGACTGAAAAAAGTCATGAAGGAAATCAACATCCCTTTTCCTAAACACTTATTAACATAGTAGCAAAGAAATATTAGCCCAATTATCACTGGGAGGCTAGTTAGTGGCCCAAAGTCCAGGTTTGATCATCTTGCATTCGCTGGAGGGTTCAGGAATTTGGCACACAGTAAACCAGCTGCTCAGCTTGTAGTCACGGTATGATGTGCTCACCTTCAATCTTTGGCGCCCACAGATCTGCCTGGGGCACCCTGTACCCTACAGCTAGCTACTCCAGCTCTTCCTTCTCCACTTCCCAACAATCCCCTCACTCCACTCTCTTTCCTTGTGATTCTGGTGAACTTTAGGCAACTAGACCATTCCTGACATATTTGGGGGTCCCACAGGCACTGGATTATATCAGACACCTGTAGACATTCTCCTGCAGGGGCTGCCAGTCCAAGACCAGCTTTCAGTTTCCATCAAACCGTCACGAATGAACCAGAGCTTCAGCCCTGGCTCAGGGCCATGGACAAAGAACCAGCTGGTAGGTGGTTCCTAGGGGCAGTGATTTTTCTCCAACAAATGCAGGCCAGCGAAAATTATTTATGTAGAATTTGTATTGATTTGCAACACAGTTGACCTAGGGCTCTCCCCTTTTTACTGGGCCAGAAATTTGTACAGGGGAAACCTCCTTCCTCTATGGGCTGGCCCAGCTCAAGACTCTTTTATACCACACCTGTTAATTCATGGGTGTCAGGTCAGGACTCAGAGAGGCCTCACTACCAAAACTGGACCACAGCTGGGAGAGATCTGCAGGTAGGGTCCGAATGCAAACCACTTCTCCTTCACTCCAGGGAAAACTGTTTCTAGTTTCCCCGTTGTCATTTTTATGTTTTTAATCTGGATTCTTGACTGGTTTGGGACATAACTTTGGCTTGCAAGTGCTTTAGCAAGTATGTTGTTTTAAAAGACTCAAACGCTATTGAACCGACTACCTCTTTTTCTGGCGTTCCTCTTCTTTCCCTCGGTGCACTTCTCCCCAAGTCAGTCGAAGTGGATAAGTAACTTCTAGGGGACTCGCGGTCTATTGGAAAGGACAGGGCCAGAGTGAGTACCCACTTAATTAAAAGCAGATTTGTTTAGCCATTTTCCCCTGGTGGCAACTATTTTTCCCCTCAAATTTGGAAAGACGCCACAATGGAATACACGGGTATAAAACTCATAGGTAATTATAAATTCATGATATGACACGAAAAAAGAGCATTTCAAAAGGAAAAATATCCAAGGATGCAGAAGTATTATAATCGTATACATAAATGTAATTGTTACATTGTTCATATAATTATGCTACAGCACCTGGTGTAGACAATTCATAGTTGTAGGGATTTTTCATCTCAAAGATTTTTTAATTCTTTCTATTCCTATTCTTTTTGCCTCCAATTTATAATTACTGTAGAAGGCCTGTAGAAGATGGAGAATTTGAAAACCGCAACAATTTATAGAAACTGAAACATTTTGTGGAACTAGAATTTAAGAATGTAGTAATGAAAAAGAAAGGGAGAAAAATAAAGAAAGCATGATGATGAGAGAACTATGGTCATGTCCATTCTACCCTCTCTCTCTGTTTTTAAATACTCATTGAGTCTTAAGATGTCATCTTGAGGCTTAAGGCCGAAAAGGCCCTTCTTTATCTATGGCCTTCCCTTGTGCTCAATTACCTTATCAAAAAGAAAATATTTATGCCAATAAATGAAGCAATAAAAATTCTCTAAACAGAAAGTATCATATTGGTTGCCAAATTACTTATGAAATATTGAATTGTTTTTGTTCACATTAAAATAAAGTATAAATAATTTCATTTCAAAATTATGATTGCAAGTATTTCTTAATAGTATCTTATACTTTATACATTTATATGTGGAAATGTAACTAGAGGTTAAAAGTATTCCAGTAGCCTCTGTTGTAAAATTTTACCAAAATAACTGGGTCAAAATTTATAAATTCTTTCCCTTATCCCTTTAATAAATTTAGTTATATTTAATAACAAGAAGCATGGAAAATAAAGTAAATCCATCTATAAAAGAGTCAAGAATGTTGATCCTTAAAGAAAACATTGTGTAAAGGTTCTGACTACTTTGATTATAAAGAACTGTCTACTTAACAGCAGGTGGGGTATCAGTAACAGGACATATAGGGAGAACTATTTAACTCTCTGTGAGTTGTGAATTCCAAAGTCTTTAGGCTTAAGAAGGTAACATGGCCATAAATATCTCAGGTAAAACTTAACTACTTATTTTCATGAATGCTAGAGGATTTTGTGCAGTATATTTTTCATTCTAACTTAATATATTTTTATGATCATAGGGCCTTCATAATGATCAAAAATTTTAAGTTACTTTTACTAACCCATAGAATATAAACTATTTTTCACTTGGATAAACCCAACTGGAAAGCAAATATTTTATTAAAATAGGAAATACTCTCTAAATGCATTTCAAAGCCCTCTCAAATCATGTTTCAATAATGTACTCTGCACATAAATTGAGAGATGATTATTTAAGGATATTGAAAAACTGGAAAAGGTAGCTAATTTATTTCAAATATTAAATTCCGACATGTCTCAATCAGTGAAAATTTCAAAATTGTCGAAATTGATTTTAAAAATTCTAATCTATTGTTTTTGAAGCATGGTGCAGAGTATAAATGGAAGCAAAGATAAATACTAATAATATAAAATTTGTGCAATGACAATTAACAACTGAGCCATATTTATTATATTAATATGAAATTTGAATTATGTCTCTTTTTTGTCTATAGAGATTATATTCTATACTAGAAATTCTGAATTATTAGGAGTTTGAATCCATTTCTGCTACCTTCTCTCTGTGTGACCTTGGTCAAATTTCTTCTCTCTGGGTCTCAATTTCCTCAGTTGTAAAACTGTGCTTATAGAAATACCTGTCAGCCGGGTTTATACCAGTGTATGATATGTAAGATAATGTATGATTTGCAAGTATCATCCATATGTATGATATGATAATGCATGTAAAGCACTTTGCAATGTCTGGTGCATAGAAGACTCTGTTGATGATCCAAGTTTCAGCCTGGAATGTTCATTCCAGCTTCTTAAAATTTAAGTAGTAAACAGATGCACTTTAAGAATTAATGAAAAGAATTGCATAAAAATATCAAAACACCCTATGCTTTTCAGTTATGTAAATCTCAAAAAGCATCTTCTGCATTTGAATTGCTATTTGTCCTTGTGTTGCCATTTCAAGGTGATAATCCATCTACAAAAACAGAGTTGAGAGTCACTTTTAACCTAAATGGTCTAATTCAAATGTCAATATAGGATTGTTTTAGCAGAAATAGAAAATAAGTAATGGAAAGGAAGAGAAAATAAATATACTGAGTGATGGAAATGAAACTTTTATATATACAGCTTAAAGACACATTCACAAAAATTTTATCCCAATTGTGTCCTTTAACTGGAGAAAGTTATTAGCAAATCCTACTCTCTTTTTTTTTTTTGTGAGGAAGATCAGCCCTGAGCTAACATCCATGCTAATCCTCCTCTTTTTGCTGAGGAAGACCAGCTCTGAGCTAACATCTATTGCCAATCCTCCTCCTTTTTTTTCCCCCCCAAAGCCCCAGTAGATAGTTGTATGTCATAGCTGCACATCCTTCTAGTTGCTGTATGTGGGACGCGGCCTCAGCATGGCCGGAGGAGCGGTGCGTCGGTGCACGCCCGGGATCCGAACCCGGGCCGCCAGTAGTGGAGCGCGCGCACTTAACTGCTAAGCCACGGGGCCGGCCCCCTACTCTCTTTTAATCATTCATCAATTATGTTACATATTTCAGTTTTGTTTCCTGAGTGTTTTGATATAGTATCTTTTGTACAGAACATGAGCAAATTATTTATTGAGTGAATGAAGTTAAATATATATATGAAGTTAATGTAAAAATCAAGGAAAAGGCTATTTGTTAAACTATTGATTTTGATTCATTTTACAAAAAAAAAAGCTAACGCAAAGTTGTCAGTCTCTTAAGGATACTGATATGCAATTATGGTTTCTGTCTTGAAATCTTTTTAATCGGTAAAATGTTTAATATGTTTCAACCTGAGTAACAGTTGTTTCAACGCTAACATTAAGCTACAAAACGGTTTTCCCTTTCGATTCGAACGAGTAAATTTTTGTGAATTGATGATCACTTTAAGCCACACAGCAGGTCCAAATGTCACATGGGCACATGAGAACTATTCAGTAAGACGTTTGAATGACAAGCATTTGCTTCACAACACATAACGATGCCAAGTGGTCTCACAGCTCAGGAATGATGAGATGTAGGAATGGAAAATGGAGGAGCTGGAGGGTGGGTCTGAATCACAAGGTAAAAGAAAGAAAAGTTCATCCACCTTGGAGATGCAGCGCACTCTCATGGTCTTGGTGGTGGTAGTTGTTGTTGGCGGTGTCCCCGTCTTGGAAAGAGGCACTGCGTGGCATTCTCCCACAATCGTTCTGGTACAGTGGACAACGAACAGCACCATCTTGAGGCAGTGGGTGGAAAGGCTGGTGCGTGGGGCTCCTTTTCAGAGCGTTAAGTGACGAATTCCTTTCGGGAATATCTGGCAGCAGTTCACTGATAAGACGGTGCAATATACTGTTGTCTGGCAAACTTCCTCTTCTCTTTTCAGCTTTAATTTGGTCACAAATGTCTTTAAGGGCAGAGTCCAGAGCCTCAAATACAGACGTTTTACATTTCGCCTTTTCAGTCTGTTTTTTGGGAGTTGAACTTTTTTTCCTCCGGAAAGGCACGGGACTGACTAGAAATGCAAGTTTAGAAAGGCCAGGGTCCATTTCTTGTCTTTTGGGCTCTTCGATGTGTTCATGTTTAGCTCTTTCGTGTTTTAGCATTGTGGTAAATCGAGTGTAGGAGGCAGGGCATCTTCCTTTGCAGGAGCTGATGAGGTGCCGGTGATGGTGGTGGTGATGGTGGTGGTGATGGTGGCTGGATCCATAAAAACTTTCAGACGACGTGAAAGAAAAGTGATCGAAATCACTCTCACTGCAAAAGGAGGATCCTTCTACATGAATGTAATCACTGTGGTCAGACACAACTCCGTCTTGGTCACTATCGGAAAACTCCACGTGAGTTCTTGGTTGCTCATCGCTGGTGACCTCAATGTGAATTGGCACCAGGGTTTTAGACTTGTAGCTTTGTTGTACCTGAGAAGGGTGTCGACTTTGATTTTCTTCTTCCAGCAAAGACTCAATGGAGAATCGCCTTTTGGGACACAAACCATTTTGCTGTGATTCCAGGGTTACGGGAGATAACATATCATCTCCTAAATTTGGCATGGATTTGGACTTTTGAATCAGCTTTTCAAATTCAGAGATGCGGGTGGGCACCATGTCTCTGGGCACCTCCTCCGTGGAGGACTGGCTCCACCCATGGAGCAGGCCCTTGCGCTGCTGCTCCTTCTCATACTGCATTATCCTCGACTTCACCGAGCAAATCACCTCTGAATTCACCAAATCCTTGCGGTTAATGCGGTGCATTTTCTTGTACATTTTTAGGAACCCTGGGGCATCGTGGGCTGACCTGTGTCGAAGCCTTGATCTGCCATTACCGCGGCCCTCCTGGACATAGGGGGAAGCCCACGTCATGGAGCAAGTCTCCTTGGAGTCCTCTTCACACAACAGAGAGCCCATACTTTCCGACTTGGTTTTCGGGTCAGGGAAGCTATCGCAGTCATCATTTAAGAGATCATCACAACTACGGGATTTGATTTTGGGGGAAACTGTTTCTTCGGTGCTGCTCCAGATCTCTGCATTTTGTCGGGCCATCTGCCAGCCATTCTTGAAAGTAATGGCCCGCTGTGAGTCCCGGGGGACGTCCAAATGCTGTCTGTAAGTGTTACAGTAATCTAACTCATTGGAGGGGAGGCCGTTGAGCCCTGAGTAACTGCAAAGGGATGGACACATTTTGCTATCATCCCCACCTTTTAATCCAGGGCAGCGTGGTGAAAGAGAGACATTTGGAGAAGTTAAAAGGTTCACAAAGAGGAGAGCATGTCAGTTAGTGTCGGACAGCACAGCAAAGAGAGAGCAGTTAGCATGGTTTAATCTAGACATTGATTGTTATACACGTAGCTTCAGTTTTAGAGAGAATAATCTAATTCTAAAGCATGGTAATACTTTTTCAATGAATGTAGCTTTGCAGATATTAGAGTTTAAAAAACCATATATAAAAGGTAATTGGTGTGGCTAATATCCCTATTTCTATTGCTTACTTCATACATCTTTCTGCAACTATGGTATGCCAAAAACACAAGAATACCTTGTAAGCCAGTAGCATGACCTGGTAGTAATTTAAAGGTTTAGCAATTAATGCCAAAACTGTTATAGATTTAATCAATTTAATAGAGTCAGGATTTGAGTCTTATTTGATTTATAATAATAGAGAGGTAAAGAGTAATTTATAAATTTACATTTAATTAATACTCCCATAACTGTATCAAATAATTTTTCATGGGCATTTGATGAAAAAGCTATAAGACGAAGTATTTTCCAAAATTGCAAAATCAAGATGCTGTGAGTTATTGTTGCTAATATTTCCCAAAAAAATAACTAGAGCTTCTTTAAACAAACTAATTTACCTCTTTAATTTCTCTACCTTCAGCCTCTTACTAGGCAAGTTCTCATAAAGATAACTGGATATAATGTAAAATTTTCATCAGAGGTAAATGCATCTTGCTTTTTTCCAGGGAAGGACTTTTTAAAAAAACATTTGCAATTTGATAATAGAGAGCTAAACCTGACCTCAATTTGGAATATGTATGGAAATATTCTTTTCTTTTGCTTTGCTGAGTTAACTAATAAATGAGAGGCCAAATTACAACCTAATGGGACATTTTCTTCTTAGAAAGAGACCTAGTGGAGGAAGATGTCTCTATTGACAGCTCCTGCCTTACAATCTTCCCCAAATTCTTCAAAAGTAGATAAGTACATTAAGTACATATGTAATATTTGGGAAAGGAAGTTGACTTAACCTTCCCTACGATGAAAACAAGGATCTAAATTAATCAGAATCCTTTTAACTTTTGGAGTAGCGTCTGAGCATAATGAATCAATGGCATTTCATGTCCTATTTGTTACTTTATGGTATTTGCATAAATGAGAAGAATCTGATAAAGGTATCTATCTCTGTCTACTGAGGAAAGGTATAAAGAAAGGGGCTCCGTCCCTCTGAACCCTCCAGTTAGCATTCACAGTTTCACTGGGCCATGGAAGAGAGCTAGTGCCTCCTGCCTATCCAGGGTCCAGTCATCAAAACCAGCCGATCTTTTGCCCACAAATCAGCCGCCACTTAGCCTTAACTAACACGTGGCAACACTTCTAGTGCCTACATTTGATACATGTAGCTGAATCTGTGCTATTTTATGGAAACATCTGTTAGAGCTCACTTTCTCCACACATTTCAAATTCCTTCTCTCTTCTGTTGCAACCCCAGGAGATTGGAGGAGACTGTGGGGCCCCAAATTTGGCATAGCCCTGGGTACCTATGGATGCTAGTTCAATCCTCAGTCTCCATGTTAGGAATATTCCTATTATGGTGGCAGTAATGCATGAAACGATATTTCAGAGACCTGAAAGAATGACTTGCTCCCTTTCAACACAGCTCACTTAATTTCCAGAGAAGAGACAAGCCATACAGAAAAATGGCTTGGTGATATCTAAATTTTATAATTACGGCTTGAACCAGGTAGTTCTTACCAGTGGACTGTTGTGAATCGAACACTGTTACATGCAGAACATGGATATTCTACTGTGTAAATGAATACTGACCAAAATATAGAGTAAACGATCAAAGAAATGACTTTCATAGGTTAGGCAAATTTTTATCTAGAATTAAATAATTAAAAAAACCCAATTTATGTTTTAGGCATCACTCTTCTCTGTTGCTGCTTTTAATTTCTATTCTATAAATTTGATTAATTTTGCTCATTGTAACATTAGAAAAATTTGACAGTATGCAAACGTTTATTAACGTAACCTTTTAATAGCCTGATAAGAAATTAGATACTTTGAACTTGTTCAAAAAAACCCACAAATGATATATTTGGAGGAAAAAAGCATTAATGGATGATAGAGTCCTTTAAGCCACTCAGATGGGTCACCAAGCTGATTTAGTCTGTGTGTAAAGAAAGCTATTCTGAAACTATACTTTATTCAGGACACTGCATTTAAATGCTAACCGTCTCTGGATGGTGATGACTGGACCATTCTCACAGGGTGCTCTAGGTTAACACACTAGTAAATTGTTTATACGTCTGTTTATTCTTGCTCACCTTTTGCTCTTGATGGGGAAGAAGGAGAAGAACTAATGAAAGACTTTGTCAGGGTGGAGCTTGATCCTGGGTGGTCAGCTCGACTGGGACTGGTCCTGCTTGCACTGGGGTCCCCCAAGCCCCTCGGCTGCCCTACTGCAGGCTCGCTCTTCCTCCTTTTCCTGAAGTCACTGGCCATGCTCGCAGAACTGAAAGAAGGAATCAGCTTCAGTCTGGTTGGTGTTGGAGGAGGTTAACACGTGAACCAGACAGGCTGGTGGAACGTGCTAGTGACAGTGGTAGAACTCCTATCCCCCACCCCCCAAAGTGCATTCTGAGGAAGTCATTCCTTCATATTAAACATTATTTCTTTATAATCACCTCGTTAAAAAATTAACAGTTTTTTAGAGCAGTTTTAGGTTTATAGAAAAATTGATTGAAAAGTACAGAGAATTTCCATATATGATAGTCCCCCTTATCTGTAGTTTCGCTTTCCATGGTTTCAGTTACCCACGGTCAACTGTGGTCCGAAAATATTAGATGCAAAATTCCAGAAATAAACAATTCATAAGTTTTAAATTGCATGCCATTCAGAGTAGCATGATGAAATCTCGTGGTCCCACTCAGTCCCTCAGGACTTGACTCATCCTTTTGTCCAGCAGATTCATGCCGTATACGCTACCCACCCATTAGTCACTTAGTAGCCTTCTGGGTTATCAGATCGACTGTCATAGTATCGCAGTGCTTGTGTTCAAGTCACCCTTATTTTCCTTAATAATGGCCCCAACACGCAAGAGTAGTGATGCTGGCAATTCAGATATGCCAAAGAAAAGCCATTTAAGTGAAAAAGTGAAAGTTCTTGACTTAATAAGGAAAGAAAAAAAATCATATGCTGAGGTTGCTAAGATCTACAGTAACTTTTATTACAGTACATTGTTATAATTGTTGTATTTTATTATTAGTTATTGTTGTTAATCTCTTACTGTGCCTAATTTATAAATTAAACTTTATCATAGGTACCTATGTATAGGAAAAGACATAGTATATATAGGGTTTGGTTCTATCTGTGGTTTCAGGTATTCACTGGGGGTCTTGGAAAGTATCCCCCATAGGTAAGGGGGGGCTACTGCATTCTCTTTCCCTTGCACATAGTTTCCCCTATTATTGACATCTTCTATTGGTGTGATACATTTGTTACAGTTGATGAACCATATTTATACATTATTATTAAATGTAATGAAAGCCCATAGTTTACACAGGGTTCATGTTTTCAGTTGAACATCCTATGAGTTTTGACAAATGTATAATGACTTGTGACCATGACTACTGTATCATATAGAGTAGTGTCATTGCCATAAAAATCCCCAGGGCTCTACCCCTTCATCCCTCTCTCTCCCTGAACACCTGGCAACTATTGATTTTTTTACTGTCTCCAGTTTTGCCTTTTCCTGAATGTCATATTGTTGGAATCAACAGTATGTAGCCTTTTCAGATTGGCTTCTTCATTTAGCAATATGCTTTTAAAGTTTCTCCATGTCTTTTTGTGTCTGGATAGCTCTTTTCTTTTTATTGTTGAATAATATTCCATTATATGCATGTACCACAGTTTGTTTATCCATTCACTTTTTGACGGACATATGGGTTGCTTCCAAGTTTTGGCAATTATGAATAAAGCCAATATAAATATTCAAGTGTAGGTTTCTTATGGACATAAATTTATAATCACTTTTTAAAGTAAAAATTCTTCTACTATTATAATATGTTTTGACTGATAATTCAGTGTTATTATTTGTATCATGTATCTTTTCTCCATAAAGAAGAGTTCCAACAACAGGAATATATCCAGAGGAGGGATGCCAAAATGGAGGAAAGGATTAGAAAAAAGGAAGACATCTGGTGAGATAAATTTCTCTTATCTCAAGATTTCCCTATAGCTTTGCTTAATAATCTTAGCTTTAAAACCTTACCTTGGAATTCCAACATTTTTCTAGTTAAATAATGAATGGCCAATAATCTGGTCAGCAAATAGACTCTTAAAGAGTCCTATCACCCAGTTGTATTAAATGATGTTGACAGTCTATAATGGCAGGGAATTTTTATCATGGTTCTGGGTCTGTATAGTATCATCTAAAACAAACATTAGTGAACAAAGATATATACCACCCAGCATGTTGTCTGTCAAATCATTAGATAAAATTACATCAACAACACCAGCAACAGCGACACCAGCTCCTAGGAGCCAGCGATACGCTATTTGCTCTACTGACATTATTGTCCTATATAGCCTGCACAGCAAACCTATGATGTATGCCCTGTTATCACTGGTTTACAAATGAGTAAATGGAACACCCACGCTTTGCAAGTACAGAGGTGGAGCCAGACTCAGAATTTGTCTGCATTTTTCTAAGGAGGGCACCCATCTTCTCCCAGACCAGTTTTTGCTGTGATTAACTAGTCATCTGAGGGTCTGTGTGTCTTTATAACAATCCTCAGGTCAGATTAGAACTCTAAAATGCAACCATTTTAGGTGCATGTATAGATGTAAAAGACACAAAAGGAGGAGTTGAGGGAGTTCCTGTCTTAGTGACATTAATGTCATTGGATGGCACTCATGAACCCACGTTACAAAGGGCCCAATTACAAGCTTTTCTACTTCTGTTGATAGAAATCTAGAGAAGGGAAAATTAAGGTTATACAAATTTTTGTTGTTGATACAATGTGGCTGGGAGTTTGTATTATTCAATATTGCTATTGAGCTGTGTCTGAATTTCTGTAATATTTTAAATTAAGTGTGATATTTAAAGCCTACCAACAGAACTGCCTTGAGACTCTTAGGGCAGTTAGGACTACCGGTCACAAGCTATTTTGGTTCAGTTCTACTTTATCTCTGCTCTTTGCCAACTGCGTAAACTTGTAAGTTATGGAGCCCACGTTTCAGTTTACTCAGAGATAAAATGGGGATAATAATACTTAATGTATAGTGGTGTCTTTTTTTTTTTTTACAGTTTTATTTATTTATTTATTTTTTTGTGAGGAAGATCAGCGTTGAGCTAACATCTATTGCCAAGCCTCCTCCTTTTTTCCTCCCCAAAGCCCCAGTAGACAGTTGTATGTCATAGTTGCACATCCTTCTAGTTGCTGTATGTAGGACGCAGCCTTAGCATGGCCAGAGTAGCAGTGTGTCGGTGCGCGCCCAGGATCCGAACCCGGGCTGCCAGTAGCGGAGTGCGAGCACTTAACCGCTAAGCCACGGGGCCGGCCCGGTATAGTGGTGTCTTAAGAATTGAAAATGTTTATGTACTTAGAATGCCTGGTATAGACTAAGCCCTCATTTATTGGCAGGAACAGTAATTCTGATTTGTGTGGTCAGAGTATAACGAAGAAATATGTGTAGAACATAATTTAGAAGATGTTTTATAATTTATAAAAATTTTTTCAAATATATTACCTTAAATGCCAGCTCACAATAGTGAAAATTAGATGTTTATAATCCCCTTTAAAGAAAAGAAAACTGAGTCTAGAGGAGACAAGGGAAGGGAAGAATTTCTCAGTCTATAAAGGAAACCAAAATTATTTCCCTTAATTTTTATAAATTCTTGAATATGATCATATAAAATGATGCAGAAACAAAATAAAGCAATTCATAGAGTATGGTGCTTAAACTAAAAGTGAGTGATAACATAATCCTCATTATTATTTTACTGAATAGTATTACTATTGAAAAAGTAACCACTGGTAGAGAATATTCTGGTTGCATAATGTAATGAGATTCTTACCTAGTGGGTCTTTCCAGGCTTCTGTCTATAGAGGATTGATACAAGGAGGCCTGTTAAAATAGAAGAATAGTTCCATGAAAATTTTTATGATAGCAAAATTTCATTTGTCCATGGGCATTAAATTAGGTATCCTAAAAAAAATATTATCAAAATTGAGATTAAAAATACCATTTGTGATCATAAAATGTCTTCCCAAAGAGAAATCATGTAATCTGATTTCTACTTTCTTTCTATCTAGTTTCTCTTCTAATATATTGCACTGTATTTCTCTGTGTAACTCAAATTATCCACAACCCAAACGTTGCCTGGGGGAAGAAAGAAAAATCAATAACCACTCTTTCATGGAGGAAAATAGACTTCCTACATCAAGGAATGGTTTGATGTTTAAAAAAAATATTTGTAGTCATCTTCAATATTTATGAATCATAAACCTTCTTTGTACATTTTTTTGTTGTGTTGCCAAGTGTTATCTTTAAAACATAAAATTTAAGCAGAACTTGAGACACATTTCATCTGTCCACATAGACATGACATTTTAATAAAAACCACAGAATTTGGTTTGAAATTAAACTAAACTACCTGGCACTTAAATCAGGTACAGATTAATATCTTTCAAATTAGTTAAGGTCACGGTTAGTTTCAAATAAATGATTCAATGAACCAAAATGTAACCTTCTTTTAAAAAAGCGGATTTTTAATATTTTTTGTCAGAAAACCAACTCTCAGTTGTCTATGGTTGTAGAAACAAAGAAAAATAGATAACACAAGTTGATAAATAATTCCAAATGCTTATTGTGCACACCATTTTCATACTCCTTCATTCTGAACAGTACAATAAAACAGATATTAAGCAAAAATGTTAGCTATGACTTTTTCACTTCCCAGCACCATCTACTGGAATAATTGCTGAAATATCTAACGGGCAAGAGAGGATCAGTATTGAGCTCTTGAATATCTGAGATGACGCTGCAAGATGTAAGTAACTGTGGCACAATGTCCAGAATGTATAGGGAAATGTAGACAAATGTATATATCTAGACGACTGTGTATCTACAGTCTTGGTTAGGTCATGGCTGATGATCAATTTCTTCATCCCGAAATTTGGTCTGATGAAGAACCAAAACTCTAGTCTGAAATGTTTGTTCATATAAAAGTTTAAGAATGTCAACCAGAAAGGCAGAATTCGACAAATTTCATCTTAAGTTTCTATCACACAGAAATATTTTACCGGAGTATTAAAAACCTGCTTAGTGGAAATTAAACCACACTTTTAAAACTACTTCTATAACTTTATTTTCTATTTGTAAATTAGCACCAATTAACCAATTAAACTATGAGTACAGGATTTTGAGATTCTTTATGTAGATCAGTCTGACAAGCCCCCTTATGCATAACTCTAAAATTGCTTCTAATTTTTTCAGTTAATTTAACTAATATTTTCATTTAATTCCATCTTACTGAATGAGAATGGAATCTTGCCCAGAAATAAACAAAAGTGTCTCTCTGCAAGAGAATATTTTCCCCCCTTTCAAACAGAAAAGCATCTTCTAATATTTTTAGTTCCTAGAAAATATTTAGATTCCTAAATTCTTAGCAAATATAAAATTAGAAAAAAAATTTGGTCTGCTAATCTCATAAGTTTACGTGATTATTTTAACTTGCTGAAATCTGAATTGGACACTGGAACGGTAGAAAAATAAATACTAAATAAGAAGGAAGGCAAACAAGTAAATAAATAAAACCAGATAATTATATTCCAATTTAGAAATATTAGTCCTACATGTTTGCAGAGGAGCAGCACCAAAGAGCCTCAGAGCATTGCCATCTGTGTGGATCACGGCTTTCGCGGGACACCCAACCGCAAACCACAGTTGATCCACAAAAAGTGTCAATACCAGAACACCCTTAGAACACCCTTAGAGTGAACAGAAATTTTGAATCGCCAGCTTGGGATGAGCCTAAACAATATTGTAATATGAAAACGTGGTATAAGAGAAGGCTCTACACTGATAAATTAATTGTATTTTAGACTTTGGCTGAGAAACTACAACTATTCCTCCTTGTGCTGGTTTCCACAATCCAAAATAAACTGAAACCAGTTCTGTGATTTTGTGTATACTCAAAGGAAAAGGTTCAGTATTAAATTATAAGGAAACGGTAAAAAGTCTAGAAAGATGACTGAGAGAAAAACTTGTAGGATAGTTATATGAATGGTACTCATCCTGGAATGGAAATTGTCTCCAGAAATGAGGTAACCTATTTTACTTATTGTGATCTACTGAGTATTTACATATTATCACTTATTTTAACACACCTAAAGGAAGGTCATCTTAATAAAGTATGACTTTTTCTGCTAAGTGATCATGTGATTAAACTTTGCTTAAAAAGTCTTACTTGTTCTTCATTAAGGCCGGTTTCTCAGTCATATTTATGGATTAAAAATATGTTATTCATGGCATATATTAGGCACCTGATAAACGGTAGCTAAGGTCATGTCTAATCAATTACAAATTTTACGAGAAATGTTTTCCATAAGGTTTTTAAAGACAGAATCCAGAACCTTATCAGAGTATTTTTTTACACTCTGAAAAACCATGATGTGAAATTAATAAAGTAGTTAATATGCTACTAGGGAGTACAACACCCTCTCAATCTCGAAGAGATAATAGCAAGTCAGTTTAACCATCAGCAAAGCACTTTTTTATGTGATTTTTTTGCCACTACCATAACATCACAGAGTATATAGAATTGTTTCTACTATTCTTAGCCCAAGAATTATTGTGTAATGTTAATTATAGGAACTTATTTCACAGAAATCAATAGTTAATATGGAATAGTATTAAGTAAATAATTTGTTTCTAAAAGATTTAAGCTCTAAATACATCTCTTGAAAGTGCTAAGAAGTATAGTATGAAGGAAATAGCACTGAAGGCAAGGTTGAGAGGTCTGTGTTTTACTCTTAATTTGTCTTCATCTTACCCCGTGATTTTGGATATATTTCTTCAAATTATTGGGCTCTACTTTTCTTGACTTAAAAATGAATGAGTTGGACATGGTGATCTCTAAATTCCATTTCAGTTTTCAATGAAACAGCCGCCTTAAAAACATCCTAGGAATATCTGACCAAAATATCTGACCAAATTGAATTCCAAAGTAAATTCTTGTGTTGTTCATATGTTAAAATAATACCCTTTCTTCAGATGTGAAGGTAACATAATACACAGAATAGAATTGCTTGTTGTATTTGATTTTCTTCAGATTATATGCCTGTCTACAAAACACAACCCTTTGGAAATGACTGCATTCAATACCCCAGAATGTTCCTGATTACTCTATTTTACTTTTTATTTAATATGTAAATATTTCAATCACTTCTTTGTTCTAATATACACTCTGATGCATACCTCAGGGGAAATAATTTGGAATTGCAAATTGAAACTCCAGAAATTTGGGTATTTTCTCCTGAGACTGTGCCTGCAATTCCAGTTGTCACTACCATGTGTCAGTAGTACTTCTTGCAGGATAGGCCTCCTACTAGTTTTATTTTATAGTTGCATACATTTAGCAGAGTTAAGACTTTTCAATGAAAATAAAATATTTATTAAATGTTTCTTGTATTGACATAGGCCCACAGAGCAACTACTGTGCAAAAACTACTGTAAAAACCAGTTTATTCACTTTGCTCCCATCCTAGCTGATTTTAAGGATTTCCATAAGGAGGCTTTTTATATAGCTGATATTTAGCAAAACTGTCACTTTTGCTTGTGCCTACCAATGAGTCCTAAATCTGCTTTCCAAAATAATTTTATTTCTCTTTGTAGAGAGCAGGATAAAAAGCTTTTGAGTCTGGATTGTTTTTGCCTTTTTCATATTCTCTTTGACAAATTCAAATAAAATTTTGCATTGCCTGGCATAAATTTTCTTACCTAGCAGATTGCTGTGAACACTCCTAAATAAAGATGGCAAATGCATTTCATCTCATATGCCAGGGATAATCTATTATAGTGGCTACCTGGATTACAGCATTGAGAAGGATTAGTAATGTCTGTCAAGGGTGTAGAAATGGGAAGTTGTGACATGTGTCCCGGTTATTTGTCAGTTCTAGTCTTGATTTTATCTGATGCTAAAATCCACAAATCGTATTTGTCAGTTCTAGTCTTGATTTTATCTGATGCTAAAATCCACAAATCGTTTTTAGGAAAATGAAAGAATTAAAATAAATTTTAGGAATACATGGGGCATAAACATCTGATTATCTAAGAATCTAAACCATCATGCTGCACCTCCAAGCATGATGATAAAATGGCTCTGAGAAGCTTTCTGGTAGTGTTTTACTCTGTCTCATCAAAACAGGTGGTTAACAGATGCACTAAGACTACTACATTTGATTTTAGATTATCACAATCCTGGATGCCAGGAGTACACTGAAGAGCTCCACTGACAGTTATGGCTGGAATGATCCTTCACCTACATTTCAGCAAGAGCCAACAACTTTGGAATAATTGACTTCCAAGCCATGATACTGGATACAACACAATGATGCAAAGACAGATTTTCAAAAACAGCTTAGACACTCTAGTGAATTCTAAAGCACGGAGGTTCAGAATCACAGTAACGGCTCCTAAAAGAAAAATCTGAAAGAGAGAGTAATTTGTTTTTACCTCATTGGAAACACCAGAAGAATGATCTTGAACATAGTCCAGAGCCTTTTTAGGAGGCTGGGTGTAGACGCACCACATAAGCAGAAGTGTAGAGATGGAATGAGGAGAATCAATGCAGCAAGGAATGAACATGTGGAAAAGGTGACAACAGTTAGAAATTGAGTGCTGATAGCATCAGATACACATAAAGAGTGACATGAATGGAGCAACATGGGGGTAGCCTGGGAGGAAGAGTGCAACGTTCGTAAATATTCTCAAGCACTGGGCAAAATTACTAGTGATCTGATTAGTACATTTATAAACTCATTTCATCAAATCAAAATCAGCACTCCTAGTCTCTAGCCACAGAGGAATGCAAGGTATATTAAAGAAACATTAAAGAGCAAGTG